AAATATTTAATCAAATTTTAAAAAAATTTTCAAGGGGGGGTGCACTACAGTGCAGGTGCACTAAAAAAGTTTTCCCTAATAATAATAACGATAAGTTATTTGACACATTCTATGTGATCACTGAATAAGTTACACAGAAATTACTGTGCTTACGTCAGACATATCAGATAGTGAAGTTATCAGTCAAGTCTTTAGCAGATGAATAACCAATGACATGACTGATAACTATTACTTATTCGTTATCATTAATTTGATTTTTTTATCTTTCTTAATTTTTAATTTTTTAAAGTTTTTAAATAAGGTATCGGTATAGTGGTTGTCGGAGAAGTGGTGTTAGGGGAATGGGGAAGTGGCAGAAGTGATAGTTTTTAAAAAAGTGCTAGTTGTTGGAAAAATGATGATTATTAGCGAAGTACACAGGTTGAATCAATGAATAACGGGTACATACCGGGAGATTTGTCTCCCGATATGTACCCATTATTCATTGATTCAACCTGTGGTAGTTGTTGGAAATGGTTGTCAGGGAAGTGATAGTGTCAGTTGGGAAAATTTAGGGATTAGGAAGTAGTTGTATCAGGGAATAATTGTTTTAGAAAATGTTTGCCGGGAAATGATGGAGACGTTTAAAATTTAGTATATTAAAATTATATTAATTATAATTAAAACAGGTCGCCACTTTCGTGAAGATATACATCCTGTTATATACCTACCAGCATGTGAAAGTTATTATTCACTGTTTCGTCTTTATAATGATACAATTATTGACCAAGAAAATAATTACCTAGTTAGTCAATCAAGTTTTAGTCGGATCTGGAAGCGTTACCTTCCTGGAATCAAGTTTTTAACTGCACGTAGTGATCTTTGTTTGCAATGCAAAGAAATGAGATTTAGTGCTAAGCGATGGACTCCAAATGAAACATTAAACAAAATAAATGAATGGTCTGATCACTATTCTTGGGCTAGTTTGGAACGTGAATATTACCGGTAAATACAAATTTACGATATTACACTAATTCGTAATTATAAGAATTCAATTATGATACATAAAAAATTACTAATTACATATATTATATTTTTATAAAGTTACTATTAATAAAAATCAAGTAGATTATCTACTTGATTTTTATTAACAGTAACCAAAAATCAAATTTAAATCTAATTTTATTAGAAAATGTATAGTTATTTCGAAAGAGGAAATTAAAAAATTTGGCAATAATTTATTACGGCCTGGTATTCCAAATTCACAAGATATAGAAAACCATATCTCCTGGGACTTCGCTGAAAGTATTCATTTGCCCTTTTCATCACAGCAGGAGGTAGGTATATGTGAAGTGGTAATAAGCACAATTTATTCCCGCAAAGTGGGGAATAAATGAGTTATTCTTCCATTTTATTAATTGATAGCCGGAGGCTATTTTCCTACTAAGTTTGAATTAAGTTGTGCCTAAAAATAATAGCGAAAACCCCATACAGTCAGACCTTTACTAAGTGCATACTCTATAGATGCATACATACTCTAAATGTATATACTTCTATAAATGTACTGTTTCTTATTATTCTCTATATGCATTGCTATTAAAGTGTGACCCCAAGGGTGTGCACTTAGAGAAGTCTGACTGCAATCAACAATTAGTAAACTGGGAAATAACTGAAAATTAAACCCAGATCATACGATCGGAAATGATGAAAATTGCCATTGGCTGCAAAACAGCTAGTGTGCTTAGAAAAACATTTTTCACTGTTTTAAAACATGTGATGATTATGATTCGAATGTAGGTTCCACATATCAAAATCATAAACATAGCATGTTTTAAAATGATGAAAAATGTTCACGTATCATTATTCGATCATCTGATCATAATAACTAATTTATTCTCTGCTCTTATTATACTTCAACAGGTTGAATCAATACATATCGGGCGCATACCGGGAGAAAGTTTCCCAATATGTACCCGTTAGTCTGCCATAGATCCGCCAAATACCTGCTGAATATCAGCAACATATTTGTAAGATATCAGGAGGTAGATTGATATCGGTAATATAATAGCACAATATTGGGATATTCTGATATCTTACTTTTAGCACTCTGGGCCTAAAAGTAAGATATTGGGGTTTCCCAATATTTTGCTATTACGTTGCTAATATCGATCATGCTTCCAATGTGCCGCTGATATTCAGCAGGTATTTGGCGGATCTATGACAGACTAACAGGTACATATCGGGAAACTTTTCTCCCGGTATGCACCCGATATTCATTGATTCAACTTGTGTTCTGTATATTTAAAATTTTTACTATATACTGTATATATACATAATATTAATTAATACAGGGAGCTATCTATTTCAAATCATTATTCAAAGTTGGAGTTTTTGGCATATGCGAGGAAGCACTTCCACGACAAGTACTTAATTTAAGTTTTTTTTTAAATTTTATGTTATTTTAATATTAAAATATGTTTGTAGATAAATTACTTAATACCTGAAGATCAAAGTGTTGGAAAAGGAGCTGACGTCGTAGTTTCATTAGTTCACAATTATTTTTGCTTACATGGACTTGGTGAAAAGCGTGTAACTATCCATGCTGATAATTGTCCAGGGCAGAATAAGAATAATACAGTAATTAAATATCTAGCCTGGCAAATTATAAATAAACTGCATGAAAATATCACCTACTCATTTATGGTCGCAGGACATACTAAATTTAGTCCTGACGGGTTTTTTGGACTTTTCAAACTTAAATTACGTAATTCAGAAGTAGATGACTTGAATGATCTTGTTCAGGTTGTTAATCATTCTACTGTAGGTGGATATAATGTTGCCCAAACTCTTAAAAAACCAGACGGTTCAACACAAGTTAAATTTTATCAATGGACAAAATTTTTGAACACTTATTTTCTAACAGTTCCATCAATTCTTCGACAGCATCATTTTATATTAAGCCATAATTCTCCAGGAAAAGTTGAAATCAAGTCATCAATTAATGATAACAAAACAACAGTAAACTTACTTCATACGAATACTAAATTACCTACTAAAGATGAATTTCCTGATGAAATAATTTCTCCGGGCTTGCATTTAGAGTGACAGTGGTACTTATATGACGAAGTAAGACAGCATATTCAAGATCACTCCAAACGTGATCTTTATTGTCCAAAACCGCAACAGCCCAAACCAAAAAAGCAAAATAAAAAATAAATTTTTTTTTTGCTTAGTGAAGAAAATTTCCTGCAAAGTTCCAGGCATCATTTTAGCTTTAGAGAGTCAAAAAAAATCAACAAGAAATTATTGTGACTTAGCACAAAGTTTAAGATACTGAAAAATTGAAGCTTTCTTAATATTAGGTATTGCAATACACAACTATTAAAATTATTAAACTGCAAAATCAGCACTTTAAAGATAGTTAATGTTAATGTCGATTTAGATGCATCAATTATAGTATAAACTTTAGAAGGATCGTTATTACAACAAATGAAACTTTCTTCAATGGATTAAAAAATTAAAGAATCGTTATTACTTAAGTCCTTTGCCAAAACATTACATATCTCAATATTCGGAAATCGAGTTTTCCACACAATTTACAAAGCTTATTAGTAATTTACAAAAACTTCAATTCCTTATATTATGGTGCATTTATAGCGTTATCAGAACTAAATTATGGGTTATAACAATTTGTAGAAATATTACCGTTAGCATTATAAAAGGGATACTCTTTATATTCAAATATTTTGCTCAATCTTTGTAGTGCACCTTTAAAAAAGCTATTGATTATCAACTTGATAACGAGAAAAACCTTAGGACTTTGAATTATGTGGGTGTAAAAACAATATTACATTGATACTATGTAAGAACCCTATTTGAGTTTGGAAATATATATTTTATATTGTATGGAATTACTATAAAAAAGGATGAATTCAGTTCACATTATTTTATTTACATACGTGCCATATTTTTGAACAGTTTTTTACACTTTTTCGTATATATCTCTAATCTCTTTTTGATATTTAACTATGCAAAAACTATATGGTTTTTTAAATATACAATTTTTCAATACCCTTATAGCAAACGTCTCTAAACTTTTCTGAAGCTTAAATATGCAAAACTATAAAAAAAAATTTAACCGTCCTTTAAAAATTCAGCCTGTGCTTGCCGCCACGAAAATAAACTACCGTTATATTTTTAAAAATAACTAGTCTGGGTTTATGTTTGGACATGTATGTATATCTTACTTCCAAACGTATAGTTATTTGTTAGTTCGATTTTGGTTGGAATCAGGATCGGAATCAAAGTTGGAATCAAGATCGGAATCAAGGTCGGAATTGTTTACATGAAGATCATTTTTGTGTAACGTTACAAAAAACATCAATTATCTCGAAATCAGGATTTTGTAGATCTGCCTTATTTCTATTGACGGCAGCCCATATACTATATATCGATTAATATCGTCATACTTTTCTTGGTTATATATATACAGTCATACCTCCCTATAGTCACCTCCTATATAAGCATATTTTCTTTAAAAACATATTTATTTAAAAACAAATTATTATTAAATATAATAAATTTAATCTCTATAAATGTCATACTTCTTTACAATCACGCTTTTATATATCCCAAATGTGTAATTATAGAGAGGTTTGACTATATAAAAGATTTGGCATTCGAAGAGGTAAGGACATTTTTTAGAATTTCAAATGGTATCTAATAGCAACACACCTATTAACAACACTTCCACTCCTCATAACAACACTTCTGCGCCTCCTAACAACACTCCTGCTCCTCCTAACAACACTTCCGCTCCTCATAACACAACTCCAAACAACAACACTCATGATAACACTCCCAACATTAATAACACCACTTCAAACACTTCGAACAATAACTTACCTTCTCCATATTCGGCTGTCATCATTGATCACAATCGATATATATCGAATACCTCTCAACAATTATCTAATATCGCTGAACCTCACCAACCAACTTATTATTCTGTTGTCGATGATTATGATTCTGACTCATCTGTTAGAAGCATTGCGAGTGTATAGAAAATATTTGCAAATATGAGTAGTAAAGGTAGTAAAGATAAAAGCAAACAAAACTAATCGAAACAAAATCCACCTCGTCAATCCATCACAAATCTATCTCGTCAAACCACACCACATCATCAATCCACACCAAACCCATCTCGTCAATTCACACCAAACTCACCACATCAAAACACGCATCAATCAACATTACATACTATCGAACATTGTAATTTGCGTATTAGCGATCGCAATAGGTCCTTATCACCACTGCCACGTTATTTAGAAAGTGAAAGATCTCGATCCAAATCTTGATCCAGGTCACGTTATAGGTCATGATCTCGCGATCGATGATCACCCACACCCAATCAGCATCAAGCATGCGATCAAACACGCGATGATAATGGTATATAAGTTTGTTTCATTTTGATCTTAGATCTCCCTTAGTTGGGAGTTCCTCTTTTTTTTTTTTTTGAAATTTTTTTTCATTTTTTTTTTTTAAAATGACAAGAATTCAGCAGTTACATTGAGTATCGCAAGCAAGTTGACACCAAGCTGTTTAAACAAAACATGTAGCTATACCTTTTGAATAAGAAAATGAACAATGAGCTCCTAGAGCTAAAGGATGAAATGAGACTCCAAAGGGGGATCAAGAGAAGGACCTTTCTACAAAGGTATTGGACGTAAATCTTTGTGTGTATAATATAGAGTATGGAATAGAAAACTTGTTTTTAAACCCATTATAAAATCCTTATAAGACGTATATACAGGTGTTGTAAAATGTCTTTTCCCACTCTACGTCTATCCAATGCAAAGTATATTAAAGGAAGCCCTTAAGGGCTACCTTACCAAAAACTTCGCCGTATACATGTTGACTCTAAGTGATAATGAATTCACCAACCGTTTTCACGATGGGTAGTGTAGCCAAATATGTAATCATTTTGTATCATTTTATTTAAATATATTAATTTCAATTGTTTAATTGAGGGTTTTTTTTTTCTTTTGCTATTTTTTCACTGGTTTAATTGTTTTTCTTTTTTTTTTCTTTTTTTTTTTCTTTTTTTTTTTTTCTTTTCTTTTTTTTTATTTTCTTTTTTTTGCTTATTCCTTCGCTAATAACAAATTTATTTATTTATTTATTTTATTAGCTTTTACAAAAAGTTAAGAACCATCATGGTGTGGCGTTGCAAAGTGTACGTTCCTCAATTTGGAAGGTATTCGGTCACAAAAGATTGCCTCTCCTCAAAAGTACTGCAAGTGCCACCGAAATATTTCAGTAGAAGGAAAGTCCACAAGTTAACGATTGCTATCGTGCTCTTTTTGAGCAAAATAGCGAAGGGGTTTTTTGGGTCTCTATCATCGCAAGATCTGTCTTCAGCATGGTTGCTGTCCCGACTTTGACCAACTATTACTGTGCTTTCACATTGGCTATGTGCGATATTTTATTAAACCCCGGTCTAAATCTGTTATGTGCAAGGATAAATTTATAAAGCGTCAAATGAGCCAATACTTAGTAAGTGTTTGTTACATATCATTTTATACCAATAATAATATTTATTATTAACATTCATTGTATTTTATTAGAATGATTTTGACAATGGTGGTTCTAATCATAATTCGGCAGAAGAAATTATGAACAGTGAACTTGCGGGACGTCTTGCAGCTGAAAGGTCAAGACAATCCTCACCTGAACTTGATCCTGAGCCTGAGTCTGTATCTGTATACTGAAGAACTTCATCAATGATGTCTATAGATGAGCTAGACGAATTATTTGGAGTCAATTAATATTAGTTTAGCCTTTTATTTGTTGATTTTTTTTCTTTATTGTATTTCTTTTTCATTTGTATTTGCAATTTTCTTAATAAAATTGGATTGACTACGCTTTA